TTTTTTTTGGTTTTTACGAGACAGGGTTTCTCTGTATTGTTTTGGAGGCTATCGGTCCAGCCCAGCCTCAAACTCACAGAGATCCTCCTGCCTCTGCCTCCCGAGTGCTGGAATTAAAGGCGTGTGCCATCACTACCTGGCTGATTGTTGCCATTTATTCCACTGTTTCTTCATTTCTGTTTCCTTGGATCACCTCCCATGTAAACTAAAATCCAAGACCTTATCTCAGACCCTCTTTGGTGGAAAACTAAGAAATCCATCAACTATGACTCCATGAAAGTAAACTTGTATATGATACATATTTTTGCATTATCACCGATAAAGAAATACATGCTACCTGTTCTGCCATCTACGAAGAGGCAGACAGATCCCTGGCTGTTCTGTTTTCCTCCCCAAACCTCTCTTTCTGTGTGTGCCTCTATCTCTCTTTATCTCTTCTCTTTCCTTCCCTTATTTTCTTACCTCCTCCTCAATAAAACTTTACATATAAGTCAAAAAGAAAGAATGAAATACAAGCTGACAGTCAGAGCTGTTACACAAACCTGTTTCAGAAAAAAAAGAAAAAGAAATACATGTAGTCAGATGTGCTGGCACACACTTTTAATTTCAGCACTCAGGAGGCAGAGGCAGGCGAATCTCTGTGAATTCGAGGCCAGCCAGATCTGTCTACACAGCAATTTTCAGGACAGCCAGAACTACAAAGAGAGGCTTTGTCCCAAAAAAGAATAAAGAAAAAGGAAGGAAGGGAGGGAGGGAGGGAGGGACGGAGGGAGGGAGGGAAGGAAGGCAGGTTCAAGTGTCTATTCAGTTCACACTGTCACTTGGCTTCATTGTAATATTATAGGTGGATAGATCATAATTGTATGGTTGGAAGTGTGTGGCTCAGTTGAAGAGCATGTGCTTAGCATGTGCCAGTTACTGGGTTCATCTTAGTATGAAACAAGTTAAATGTACAGGTTTTTATGTACATCTATGCATATTCCTGTTGTGTGGTGTTTTTGCTTTTTGGGCTTTTGGGGGGGACCTACCTCCCAGCTCCCAAATAAATCACACACAGAGGCTTATTCTTATATTTTTGGTTGTGAGCCTAGCCTTTAACGGCTGAGCCATCTCTCCAGCCCTAGAGGCTTATTCTTTTTTTATTCTTTTTATCACTTTGTAGACCAGGCTGGCCTCGAACTCACAGAGATCCGCCTGCCTCTGCCTCCCGAGTGCTGGGATTAGAGGCGTGCGCCACCAAAGCCCGGCCACCTTTTGTTTTTTTAAGACAGGGTTTCTCTGTGTTACTCTGGCTGCCCTGGAACTCACTCTGTACAGCCTATGTCACCTCTGCTGGCACCCATGGAACTTTAAAAACTAGTTTCATGATTTTTGCCCCAGACAAACTGACTCATAATTTCCAAGAACAAGACACGGAATATTAATTGCTTTGACAGATTTAGGTAAGACTAAATATTTTAAAGCAATAGAAAGGGAAGACTTACTTTTCCTCTGAAGACTCATTTTGCTAATACTTGAACTTTAAAAGCTAGTGAAAGGATAGGGTGAGAAATAGGTTCCGATGAAAAGGGTCAAGTTGTAATAATGTGTTCAGTAAATGCTTCTCCATGCATTAATCTATTTAATCCCTACAGCCCTGTGATTGGGTTCCTTTTTTTTTTTTCTTCCCTGTCTTTAATTTTGCAGTTCTGGGGACTGATCCAGAGCTCTGTGTGTGCTAAGAAGTGAGCTCTGTCCCCAGCCAGGCTCTTGTATTATCTTCATTCTAAGAATATAAAGTAGAAGTGTAAGAGCCTAAGAGATGTCTCAGTGGGTGAAGAATCTTGCTGCTAAGCTTGATGACCTGAGTTTGAAGCCCTGGAACTCATATGGTTGAAAGATGAAAACTACCCTCTGACTTCCACAAGATTCCTGTCATACCATGCCACCCTCCCAGTCCCCCATTCCCAACACACAAATAATTTAAAAGGCTGGGAACAGTGGCACACGTTTTTAATCGCAGTACTCCAGAGGCAGAGATGGGTGGATCTCTGAGTTCAAAGCCAGTGTGGTCTACATATTCAGTTCTAAGCCAGCCAGAGCTACATAGTAAGACACCATTCCTCATTCAAAAAGAGCTGACAAGTAGTTATCTTTGATTATGTGGTTAATATTCATACATTCACACTTTCCTAAGTTTGAATATAGATGCTCCTTAGTTTAGGATCAACTTAGATCCCAATCAATCATCTCACTAGAAATCAAAACCATCTTGAGTTGAGAAAAGCACATCTTAGCAACTCAGAGCACCACTGACTGTACATATGTTGAGAGTATGACGTGCTGCTGTTGCCCAGCCTAATGAGATAATTGTACCATGAGCTGAGCTCAGAAACAGTGCCAAATCTCGAAATTCAAAGTATGATTCCTCCTGAATGTTTGTCGCTTTTTCTTGTGATATCACAGATTGAACAAAACTGTGACATACCAGGCAAGTAAGTACTCTGCCACTGAGTTACACCCTCAGCTCACTTTTATACTACTTTACTTTTTTCTTCCCTCTGAGATAGGGTTTCTCTGTTCCATCTTGGCTGCCCTGTAACTCAATTTATAGATAAGGCTGACCTCAAACTCTGGAGATCTGCCTGCCTCCGCTTTCCCAGTGCTGCATCTAAAGCACTGTCTGGCTGCCCCCCCTTTTTAATATTTTATTTATTTGTTGTGTATACAGTCTTCTGCCTGCATGCCAGCGGAGGGCATCAGATCTTATTCTCTCATTCAAGGTGGTTGTGAGCCATCATGTGGAAGAACAGTCAGTGCTCTTAACTGCTGAGCCATCTCTCCAGCCCCCTGGCTGCCCTCTTTAAAAAATAACTTAAGGCATATCTGGGAAGTGATGGTGCACACCTTTAATCCCAGCACTCAGGAGGCAGAGGCAGGCAGATCTGTGAGTTCGAGGCCAACCTGGTCTAAAGAGTAAGTTCCAGGACAGCTGGAGTTACTCAGAAGAACCCTGTCTCAAAAACCGAGTAAGATAGTAATAACCAAAATATCTTAAGGCTGCAGTGGGATGATCCTTTTGTTTGCTGCAAATGTTTTTTTCACATTGGTTAATAAAATAGCTGATTTGCCTCTGGCAAGGCAGGAAGGAGCCAGGTGGGAAATCTAAGCAGAGATACAGAGGGTGGAGTCTGGACAGATGCCAGCCAGCAACCAAAGCAACAAGATGTACTAGACCACAGGTAAAGCCACAAGTTACATAGCAATACATAGATTAATAGAAATGGGTTATCTTCCGGGCGTTGGTGGCGCACGCCTTTAATCCCAGCACTCAGGAGGCAGAGGCAGGTGGATCTCTGTGAGTTCGAGACCAGCCTGGACTACCAAGCGAGTTCCAGGACAGCCTCCAAAGCCACAGAGAAACCCTGTCTCGAAAAACAAAAAAAACAAAAACAACAAAAAAAAAAGACTGTGATTTTTGGGGGGGGGGCTGAGACAGTATTTCTCTGTGTAACAGTCCTCACTGTCCTGTAACGTGTAGACAGGCTAACCTCAAACTCAGACATCCATCTGTGTCCATCTCCCTGGTGGAATTAAAGGCCTGAGACCCTGTTGCCCAGCTACGAGTGTTTTTTTTTTAAAGATGTATTTATTATGTATACAGTATTCTGTCTGCATGGATCCCTGCAGGCCAGAAGAGGGCACCAGATCTCATTACAGATGGTTGTGAGTCACCATGTGGTTGCTGGGAATTGAACTCAGGACCTCTGGAAGAACACCCAGTGCTCTTAACCTCTGAGCCATCTCTCCAGCCCACGAGTGGTTATTTTTAAGAGAGGTAGTGGGACAGAAGTCTCCATTTACATAAGGCTGTTAACACCCCACGTATTAGAAGCAGCAAAATAGAAGGCTGCTTCCATTTGATGTGCTAATAAACACAAGGCCCTTCTGGCCTGCACACACACACATGCATGATCCATCATGGTACATGAGTCATCCCTAAACCTACAAGTAAATAAATCTAATTTACATAAGAGACAGGGTGTAAGTCCTGGCAATCTGGGAACTATGTTGACCATGGTAGCCTCAAACTCAGAGATCCTCCTATTTCTGCCTCCCAAGTGTTGGGAATACGAGCCATCATGTCATGCTTGGACTACCTGTTTATGTCCTTAGGTTTTTTTTTTTGTTTGTTTGTTTGTTTTGGTTGAGACAGGGTTTCTCTGTAGCTTTGGAGGCTGTCCTGGAACTCACTTTGTAGACCAGGCTGGCCTCGAACTCACAGAGATCCGCCTGCCTCTGCCTCCCGAGTGCTGGGATTAGAGGCGTGCGCCACCAACGTCCGGCTCTCCTTAGATCTTTTTTAAGAAGTAAATCTTTCTAGCCGGGCGTTGGTGGCGCACGCCTTTAATCCCAGCACTCGGGAGGCAGAGGCAGGCGGATCTCTGTGAGTTCGAGGCCAGCCTGGTTTACAGAGTGAGTTCCAGGATAGCCTCCAAAACAATACAGAGAAACCCTGTCTCGAAAAATCCAAAAAAAAAAAATCTTTCTAATGATTTATTTTTATGTGCATTGGTGTTTTGTCTGCATGTATGTCTAGGTGAAATGTATTAGATCCCCTGGAGTTAGAGTCACAGAGAATTGTGAGCTATCATGTGGGTTCTGGGAATTGAACCTGGGTCCTCTGGAAGCGCAGCCAGTCTTAACAGCTCTCCAGCCTCCAATAACCTGTTTCCCAGGTGGTTGAGAGCACCAAATGTAAAGCAATGTGAAAAGTACTAAGTTACAAAACAGGTACTTAATAAAGATACTTGTTCTACTTTGCAGAAGGTATGCAGGGGACCAACCAAATACCTGGAAAAAAGACAAACCACCAATCTTTTGATTCTGATGAGATGGAAATTAGATAATGAAAACTAAAAACTACATGTGGAAGAGAAGCTGACTTCAGAGAAAAAATTCATGGCTTTAAGGACTTATACATTCCAAGAAACAAAGAATAAAAGTACAGAGAATAAACATTCACTATAAGATCAACTCCCTTTTATTTCCAATAAGCAGCTATTAATGAGTGCACTGGAATGGTAACAGCAAACAGGGAACAATGCAGAAAGGTGGACATGGTGGAAATGTCAAAGTATGCCCAGGCCCTGATTAAAGTATAAGAGATACATGACCTCAACCTCTATGTCCACTTCAACATTAGGTGTCCTAGGAAAGACTGTGTTGAGTGATATGTGGCTGGGTAAAGTTACTCGTTTTTGGTGTTTTTCCTTTTAAGACAAGATTTCTTTTCATAGTCTCGACTGTCCTTGAACTAGTTCTGTAGACCAGGATGCCTTTGAACTCAGATATCCACCTACCTCTGCTTCCCTAGCACTCTGATTAAAGGCAGGCACCACCACTGCCTGGCTAATTTTATCCTAGTAGCATGTTAAAAACTGCTTTTCCTAATGTAAGAAAAATACATGATGGCCTAACTTTTTCCTCATGCCAGTCACCAGCCCTAGAACCTCAAGTGTGAGAGCCTCTTCCTGCATGCTGGAGAGCCACAGAATCTCATACCTGAAGACATAAGCCTTGTGCCTGCCTGCCCATGCCTCTTGCTGGTCTCAGACTGCATAGCTAAGGATCTCTGGGTTTTCATTTTTCCTAAGTCTGTGAAGGTCAATAAACCCAGGGTGTGTTACACCTCAGAGTAAAGACTGGGTGGTTAGCAACAGAGCAAAAGACCTCTTGCAGAAACCACAAGGGATGAGTGAGTTTGGGCAATGAATACACGAGACTAACCAGACCATGACTGGAGAACCAGTAAACTGTCCACCTCCCGCTTGCCAGCACAGGTGCAGTTCAGGAGTAATGAGAGTCAAAGGAAACAAACAGATCATGGAGCAATTCTAGGGGCTTGTAGCTCCCATGGAATTGGTTCTAGTCTTGGTGACCCTACTCTTTGTCCAGTCCACAAGAAATGCCACCCTCACCAGATCCCTTCTATCCTGGCAACCCAGGGGCCCTCTTCCTTCCTAACAAGTGCCTCAGAGGGCTTGGGGGCCAGACTCCCTCTAGTCTACCTTTGGTAGGATTGACCAAGTGACTACTGGTGGCCCAAAGGTCAGGTAAAGTGTTGGACTGACTATATCTGAGCTCAAGGTTCTCTGAGAACCTGGAATGAGTTCCCTACTCCTGAATGATGGTCAGATACTGCCTGTTTAAACTTCTTCCCTTTACTCTTTAAAATGAGGCAGATAGGTGAGAAACCCAAAGCTGAACTCAGCTTTGCTAAAATTCTACTTGCCAGCCCTCATTCCTCTTGGAATGAGCTAAAACAGATAATAAGGGGTGACCACTGCCTAGTCAACCTGTATTTCAAACCTTAAGCTCAAAGCCACCCATGTCTCTACCAGTACACAATAAGCTGGGCAGTGGTGATGCACACTTTTAAACCCAGCACTCAGGAGGTTGAGGCAGGCGGATCTGTGAGTTCAAGGCCAGCCTGATCTACAGAGCGAGTTCTAGGACAGCCAAGTCTATATGAAGAAATCCTGTTCTGAAAAACCAAAAGAAGAAAAAAGTTAAAGAAAACTAAGTTCCACTGGACTCTAGAGTCCTAATTCTCTGCTATATCTCCAGTACTTACAATAGTATCTGGTATGTGGTATGTAGTAGTTGCTCAGTAATTGTGTTAAATGTACATGGGCCTAACACACAGTCTGTCAACTGGAGAAAAAGCATGTAGAAGTAGGCAGGTCACAGGAGCTCACAAATTCAAGACTAGCCTAGGCAACATACTAAGACTACCTCTAAAGAACAAACAACAAAACTTTATTACGATTCCAATAAAAACACAAAATTCTTGAGTTTGAGTTGTAAGCCTTATGTATCTTTCATTTGACTAATAAACTTTTCCACAATCCTATTGAGTCTTTCAGGCTCCATCAATTTATTTACAAGTTCTTGCTCAACTGCCATCAGAGCCAGGCCAGTAAGTTTCTCTTGTCCCATGGTATGAAGTAAGTATTTTTTAAGATGAGGCAGTGTGGAAAATGACTTTTCATTATTTGTTGAAGTAATTGGCCAAGATAAAGCAATATGTAACAGTTTCGAGATACAAGGAATATTATTGTGGAGACCATGCTGACTAAACAAACAGCCAAGGTCAATGAAGCTTAAAGAACCATAATCTGTAACAAAGTTGAGATTTGCATACTGTCGGTAAAATCTAAGTTCAGGGATAATGTCTGCATCAAGCTTATAAAATTCTTGAACATGTTTTGCGGCTGCTTCATCTAAGGGCTCATTCCATTTAAATAATAGCTCTGAAATTTGTTTCATTTTGCAATAGTCAAACTCTGAAAAACATAACTTTAAGTTTTTTAATACACTATCCAAACCTTGGTAGTAAATATTAATTTTATAGTGTTCATGTGCTGAAGTAGGACAACACACACTCCCTGAGTTGTCAGGATCTGTTTTCTGAATTTTTCTTCTTGTTTGAAAAGAGGGCTTTTCAACTTCAAAACCTTTACGGGTTATTTTTTTACATATTTCAGCTGCTCCATCCCAGATACTCTTGAAATACATGTCACTCCTTTCAGAAGATAAACATTCCAAAATTGCTTCTATTTTTGAAAACAAAGAAAAGGTGTCTACAGTTTCACTTTGAAACTCTCTAGAAAGAATTCCTGTAATACTGAGTACTCGATAAAGAAATTTCAAACAGAATATAAATTCAAACTTGGTAACCACCACCAACAGATCATTCAGTTGGTCAGCTATAGCTGTGCCTGAGGAACGGCAAGACACCGCTTTTAGTGTCTCAATGATCTCTGGAAGACACTCCGTCACAGACAGTAACAAGTGATCGTGGGCTGTCCAGCATGACTGTGATGTGTGTTTCTTACAAGTTTTATTTTGACTTAGTTTACACCTGGTTTGCAAAGCTGCCAACATTTCCCCTGACATACGAACAGTATTGAACAAAGAACTGAGACCATTTAGTGTGCTTCGGAGTTCTTTTACTTCTTTACAAAAACTAATGACTGCTAATTCAAAAAAATGTGCATAACAATGTATATATAAAGCTCTTGGCTCTTCCTTCTTGAATTCTGCTACAACTTCATTAAATTTTACTCTCAAATTCGTGGCACTATCATAGGCTTGACCACATATCTTACTAAAATCAATCCCGACCTGCTGCAGGTAAGCTTTGATATGCCTGTGTACAGGGACTGCAGTCATCTTGTCAATATTAACAAACCCCAGGAACCTTTCCTTAACCAGGACAGCACTTGAGGTTTTTTGTGGGTACCTCACGCACACTGAAAGCTGAACTTTTGTGGCACTATCAGTTGTCTCTTCACATATTATTGAAAAAGCTGAGGAGACATTGATCTCACTCACAATGTCTTGCAAGATTTCAGCCTTTATTATTTCAACAATCTCCTCCTGGACTTGTGTACTACGATAGTAGTCAACATGTGAATTCATAAGCTCAAACACTTCTCCTCCTTTATCTCTTGCTCTAATTTCTAGTAATTCCAAAAAATTGCCTTTATTAATGGATGAGATAGACTGGTCATTTCCTTTTAAGAGCAAACACTGTTTTCCAAGAAATAAGATGTTTTCAATGATGAGCTTTAGGTACCTTTTATTTCCCTCAATACGTTTTGAATAAACAGAAGAACCATCATGTGGCATTTCATCCAGAAACTGGTACTGTTTCCAAAACTTCAGTGACTTTAAGTGCACTTCACTTTCTTCATGCTTCTTGAATTTTTCTAGCATTTTCTCCCAGTCAGCAGTTCCTTGGGGTGCAAATGATTCTCCCTGGCAGTTAAAATTTTTCTGGTAGAACAAGTGGCAAGAATAGCAGAATGCAACATCATTCCTAGAACTGGGGTTCAAATGCTGAGGACCCGAGCGCCAAGATTTTCTAATACTTTGTGATTCTTTTTTAACTTTTTGGACTGTGGACGTAGACTTTGGATAACAAGGTCTGTCATGTACTTCCATAGATTCTATGTTGTGTCCCTGGTGTGACCCACTGTTGCTCTGTGCTTCCACATTGGGACCAACTGTGGCCTCAAAGTGCACCGATGAAGATGGGAGAGGGCTGGGTTGTTCCACACTATTACCAACACGACTACTGGATTCACTGGGTGAGTTCTTAGGACAAAAATGATAAAATAACAATTAATAGTTTTCAAATAATAAAAATACCAAACAAACTGTAGTATAAACTTCTTTATGAGAGACATTAACAATTATTATTCACCATGTAGATTCACCACTAAATGTTTAAAGGAGCTCTAGGTATAACACTGCAGAAAAATATATTTTTTTCAAGACAGGGTTTCTCTGTGCAGCCCTGGCTGTCCTGGAACTCTCTCTGTAGACCAGGCTGGCCTCAAACTCAGAGACCCGCCTGCTTTTGCCTCCTAAGTGCTGGGATTAAAGGTGTGCTAGAAAAAAATTGTTTATTACTCATTGACTAGAAATATTTACTCAAAAGGAAGTTAGGCATGGCACTCACCTTTAAATCCAGCACTCTAGAGGCAGAGGAAGGCAATCTCTGCAAGTTCAAGGTCAGTCAGAGTTACATAGTGAGATCTTGTCTAGGGCTGGGGAGATGGCTCAGTGGTTAAGAGCACTGACTGCTCTTGTAGAGGACCCAGCACCCACATGGCAACTCACAACTGTCTGTAACTCTAATTCCAGGGAATCTGACATCCTTATCTACATGCAGGCAAAACACCAGTGCACATAAAAGTAAAATTAAATAAAAAATTTAAAAATTAAAAAAAAAAGAAAAGTAAATAAGGAAAACTCGGTGGGAAATGTAACAATACTTTAAAATTAGTTTTCATTTTAAACATTTTTTGTTGCGTATGGGTGTTTTACCTGAATGAATATCTGTGCACTACTTATGTGCCTGTTATTTGCAGAGCTAAAAAAGAGGGCTTCTCAGATCTCTTGGAACTGGAATTATAGATGGCTATGGGCTGTCAAAGAACTAAACCCAGGTCTTCTAATGCAGCAGTCAGTGCTCTCAACTGCTAAGCTATCTCTCCAGCTACAACACTTTATAGCATATATAAAAATGTATCAACAGGTGGTGGTGATACACACCTTTAATCATCAGCACTCGGGAGGCAGAGGCAGGCAGATCTCTGAGTTCGAGGTGAACCTGGTCTACAAAGTGACTTCCAGGACAGGTAGGGCTGTTACACAGAGAAGTCTTGTCTCAAACAAATAAAACAAAACATATTACTAAGTAAATAAAAAACAAAACAAAACAAAACAAAGCAAAAACAAAACAAAACAAAAAAACCACGTAAAAAAGCCAAGTGGTGGTAGCACATGTCTTTTATCCCAGCACTTGGGGGAAGAAGGAGCAGGTGGATCTCTGAGTTCAGGCCAGCCTGATCTACAGAGTGAATTCCAGACAGCCAGGATTATAGAGAAACCTTGTCTCAACAAACAATCGAACAAACATCTATATATGAAAACACAACACAACACACACACACACATACAAACACACTCCTGTTTAAAACTGAAAAGAACTAGACTAAAACTTACTTGTATAATGACATTTGTAGGTATAGAAGAAAGTGAACCTGTTGAAATAAAGCATATATTCAAGATTTCATACTTTAATAGTACCAAAATTTCATGCAGCTTATTTCCTATTAGGAAACAGACAGAGTCAACAATATGACAAAGCATTGTTTATGTCAAATGCCTGTTTACCTTGTAAGAGATCAATGTTCATGAGCAGGTCAACATGATCATTTACCAATGACATTATATTGCTTATAACTGGAATTGGGTATTTCCTTGGAGAAAGATTTCCTTTTGAAGCTTTGTGTACCATGGAAACATTTACTGACAAAAATAAACAAAAATTCTTATTAAAGTCCAGGCGGAAACCAAAGTACTATTTGTAGTAAGTGTTTTTGTGCTGAGGGTTATAAATCAGTCGGAGAATGCTTGCCTAGCATACATCACATCTTATCCAGTAGTAGGCATGGAACACAGGGCTTCGTGCATGTTGAACAAGTACTCTGACAAGTCAGCTACATTACCACTCTGTTTGGATTTTTGTTTTGGTTGCTTGTTTCTTTTGAGACAGGGTTTCTTTGTATAGCCCTGGCTGTCCTGGAACTTACTCTGTAGAACCAGGCTGGCCTCTAACTTCAGAGATCTGTCTGCCTCTGCCTCCCAAGTGTTAAGATTAAAGGTGTGCACCACCACTGCCCATGGAACTTTTTTTTCTTGGTTTTTCGAGACATGGTTTCTCTGTATTGTTTTGGAGGCTGTCCTGGAACTCGCTCTGTAGACCAGGCTGGTCTCGAACTCACAGATACACCCGCCTCTGCCTCCTGAGTGCTGGGATTAAAGACGTGCGTCACCAACGCCTGGCTTTTTTTTTTTAAATAAAGATTTATTTGTGAGGTAAATGTTACTACATGGGTGCTAAGATCTGAACTTGATCCTCATAATTGAGCAGAAAGCGGTATTTTTTTAAAGAGAGTATTTCGCCACATACAGTGTTCTGAATGTATATGTGCCTCCATGCCACAAGAAGGCACCAGATCTCATTATAGATGGTTGTGAGCCACCATGTGGTTGCTGGGAATTGAATTCAGGACTTCTGGAAGCTGAGTCATCTCTCCAGCCTCCAGCAAGCATTCTTAGCTGCTAAGCCATCTCTCGAGCACTCATTTGGAATTTTAAGTCACTCTAATAAGGAAATTAGTCAGTTATAAATTAAAAGCAAAGTGAGTCTGTGTTTCCCAGTACTTAGTAAAGCTTTGGAGTTGTTGAGTATTACCTGTCGAAGATTCCATCACAGAACTGTCGTATGAAGAAAAACAAACAGAGCAGAAAACCTCTATGTTCCCCAAGTCATTAGTAATCATAATCATCTCATCTGAGCGTTTCAGTGTTTTGCAAGGAAAAGATCTAAGTATTCTGGGTGGTTTCTGTTCAGAAATTAAAAATAATATTCATATTTCTGGTATATCACATGCAACAGTAAAAACACTAAGCATAGCTACTGTAACTGCTTTTAGTTGAAATATTACAATTTTTTATACTTCCTTAGAAATGAGAAAACAGTAGAAGCTGTAACAACAAAATGAAGTATCCATCATTTAATAGCAATATTGCATATGCAATGATAAGAGAGATCATAAAAGAGGTTTATTATCCCAGGCAACTAAAGCTTACTGAATAAGAACACATATATAATTACAGTGCTTTTTTTTTTTTTAACTCAGTACATCATCATCCTTGAACATGAGCTCAAGAAAATCTGTCAGGTCTAAGGAGACAGAAAAGGGTAAACGTAGTATCTACTATTTGAGATACTGAGGCAGTAACTATCTCTAGGACAGTGGTTCCCAATCTTCCTAATGCTGTGACCTTTAAATACAGTTCCTCATGTTGTGTTGATCCCCAACCATAAAATTATGTTGTTGCTACTTCATAGCTGCAATTTTGCTGTTTTGAATTATCATGTAAATTTCTGATATGCAGAATATCTGATAGGGGACCCTCAATGGGGTTATGATCACAGGTTAAGAACCACTGCTCTAGGTTAACTTCACGGTAAAGATTCACAAGCATAGGCAGAGATCTGCCTGCCTCTGCACTTGTGCCTCTACCACCCGGCACTTTTTAAAAAGATTTATTTATTTATTATGTATGCATGCAGTATTCTGTCTGCACATATCCCTGCAGGCCAGAAGAGGGTACCAGATTTTGTTGCAGATAGTTGTGAACCACCAATGTGGTTGCTGGGAATTGAACTAAGGACCTCTAGAAGAGCAGCCAGTGTTCTTAACCTCTGAGCCATCTCTTTGGTGGCCTTTAACTGCAGCACTCAGGAGGCAGAGGCCGGTGGATCTCCTGTGAGTTCGAGGCCAGCCTGGTCTACAAAGCGAGTTCCAGGACAGCCTCCAAAATCACAGAGAAACCCTGTCTCGAAAAAAAAAAAAAAAAAAAAAAAAAAAAAGTAAGGACAAAATTAGTGTGGTGGTGGTTCACACTTCTAATCCCAGCTCTTGGTGGTGGGGGCAGAGACAGGAGGATTTCTGTGAGTTTAAGGCCTGCCTGGTCTACAGAATGAGTTCTAGGACAGACAGAAATGTAACAGAGAAACCCTGTCTCAAAAAACATAAGAACAAGGCAGGCATGGTGGTGGACCCCTTTAATCCTAGCACTAGGGAGGCAGAGGTAGGCACATTTTTGAGTTTCAGGCTAGCCTGGTCTACAGAACCAGTTCCAGGACAGTCAAGGCTACTCAGAGGCTAATTTTCATTTTAATCTTTTATTAATATGAATATTTTTGAAACAAATAGCACTGGCCAGTCTGGATCTCGGTTATATAGATCACGTTGACAACACTCCCAGAGACCTATCTGCTTGACTGCCTCCAGAGTACCACAATTACAGGCATGAGCTATGACACCTGGCTCCTCACCCTATCATTAAAATATCAAATGCTCCTGAAAAGGACCCCTTCTGAGGGTTGAATATAGGGTCTTATTCATGCTAAGCAAAGGCTCTACCAGCGAGTTAAACTTCAGTTCTCATAGAAGCATTCTTCAGGCAGAACTCCAACAGATCAAGAGACTCTGATGGTACCAATTAATTAACAATTCGATCCAGTCAGGAAAAGGATCGGGGCACACTCAGCTGTGGTTTCCAAAGGAGACTTTTACAGGGTTTCTCTGTGGCTTTGGAGGCTGTCCTGGAACTAGCTCTTGTAGACCAGGCTGGCCTAGAACTCAAGAGATGTGCCTGCCTCTGCCTCCCGAGTGCTGGGATTAAAAAGCGTGGGCCACCACCATCCGGCCAAAAGAGGCTTTTATTTTTTTTTGTGAGACAGGGTTTCTCTGTGTAGTCTTGCCTATCCTGGAACTCACTCTGTAGACCAGGCTAACTCAAAATCAAACCTGCCTTTGCCTTCCAAGTGCTGGGTTAAAGGCATGAGCCACCAATGACAGAATATTTTTTGTTGTTGTTTTGTTTTTGTTATTTTTAGACAGGTTTCTCTGTGTAGCCCTGGTTATCTTGGAACTCAGGGCTACCTTCTTCTGCCTCCCATGTGTGTGACACCACCACCTGGCAAGTTTTATTTTTTCCTTTTTTTAAAGATTTATTATGTATAAAGTGTTCTGCTTGAATATATGCTTACATGCCAGAAAAGGGCACCAGATCTCATTACAGATGGTTGTGAGCCACCATGTGGTTGCTGGTAATTGAACTCAGGACCTCTGGAAGAACAGTCAATTCTCTTAACCACTGAGCCATCTCTCCCTAGCTCCAGTTTTATGTTCTTAATGTTATTAGGAGGTAGGCTCTAAGCATTCACTTGAATTGTAACTCAATTGAGGGGTGTTTTTTCTTTTGGTTCCTAGCAGTCTTATTCCATATTGAAATAATTCCTTCTTTCTAAAGTTAACAGGGATTATACTCCCATGGATCACTTGCCCATTCACAAATGTTGTTCCCCTATCATGATTAGAATAAGACTGTCCCAGCAATTGGAGGGCAACTCCTTGTGCATGTGAATAATAGACCTGTCAGCATTTCCATTTGCACACACCCACCTGGGTTTTAAATCCTGTTTTTTTCCCTCAGGTTCCCCTTGCCCCATACAAGGTTTCTCTGTGTAGTCCTAGCCATTCTGGAACTCACTTTGTAGACCAGGTTGGCCTTGAACTCGGAGACCTATCTACCTGCAGCTGCCTCCTGAGTGCTGGAATTGAAGGCATGAGCTACCAACCACTTAAAAAAAAAAAAAAAAAAAGACAGGGTTTCTCTATGTAGCTTGACTTGGAACTTGGTAAACTTGATGAGATCCACCTGCCTCTGTCCCTCAACTACTGGGATGTATTACTAGATCACAGAGCATCACACAGCAATCAAGATATATATTAGTCCTATTTCATAGACAGGACCAGACTAGTAATTGTGTTCATCTCACTTAGTCTACCACAGCATGGCTAGCCTCTCTGATCTTAGTAGCAACTAAAGGTTCTCTTATAGGAACTATAAAAGTTTTTTTTTTCATTTTCATCAACTATCAATCAAAGAGTTCCCCAATGATACCAAACACACCAGAGATTACCTGGTGGAGGAAAAAGCAACTCTTTCTGCTCAGCTGCTTCTATGCACTAGCATTCTCTGCACTATTCGGTATGGAGAATGTGAGACAGACCGTAGTGCACGCAACAGTAAGCTCCACAGTTCTCATACCAATCACAATCAAGCTGGCAGTAGAATAAAAATCTGAAAAGTAGGTATTACTCAAAGACTAAAACAACAGAATCAATGACATTTAAATCGAATCCTTAGAATACTTCAAATGTTAAAAGTCACCGACACTTACAGTAGATGTCTTCTGGCACACGCTGCACTTCGGCAAAGTGCTATCAGTACACATGGTAATACATGGATTTCTTTTCTCTTCATATGATGAAAGGCAAGATTGGCTACAAAAGTTTTTGTTGCAGCTACTGTCCTTCAACTTGACATTCTTCATATCCTTCTGATTTAAAATGTCTCTAAAAACAACAACGAGTGCTTGTTAATAGGATAATAAATATATGAAGTAACTTACGGGTTTCTGTGTGCACATGAGGGGACCACAGCATGATATTGGATATCTTCCCCTCTTGCTCTCTATATGTCCTGACCCAGGCTAGAAATGGGAGCTAGAGTCACTGTTTTGGCTATGCTAGTTAGGTAGTGAGCTCTTGGGATCCTTCTGCCATATATTCACTGTAAAATAAAATAAAGTCAATTTAGTTTCAGAAATTAAGATGCTATTAATCAAACAATATTTTCAAGTTATTTCAGTCTGAACCTTGATAATCCCCAGCACCTACATGGAGCCTACAACTGTCTATAATTTCTGTTTCAGGAGATCTAGTGCCCTCTTCTGGATCCCAGGGGCAATGTAAACACTTGGTACACAGACATATAAGCAGGCAAAACACACACACACACACACACAAATTTGGAAGGTATTCTGTGTTTGCTTCTACTGCTGTAATAAAGGCCATGACCAAAAGCAACTCACTGAAGAAAGGATTTATTTCAGTTTACAACTTCCAGGTCATAACCTATCACTGACGGAAGTCAGGGCAGGAACTGAAGCAGACACCACAGAGGGATGCCGTTTAGTGGCTCGCTGTTCATAGTTTGCTCAATGGGCTTTCTTAGACAACACAGGACCTTGCCACCCACAGTGGGATGGGCCTCCCACATCAATCACTGATTAAGAAAAGACAGAAAACTACAACACAGTCATAAAATGGGGCATAAAGCACTTGTCCTGTCTCTCAGTGGTAGATTACTGCCTCAAGACAAAGTCCATATAGGAAACTTGAGTTACAACTTTAGCCATCTTTTTCACAAAACATTTTTATTTGAACATATGCTAAACTATTGTCCAGCAGTGGACATCGGGAAGCTATTTTCTTGAAAATGAAGAAAGGATGCCATTTCAAGAAAAACAACTCACAGCATTTACCACTGAGCTTGAAAGTAAAAGTTAGAAATTTTAGAAAAGCCGTACCTGTGTTGGTGGCACACGCCTTTAATTCCAGTACTCGGGAGACAGAGGCAGGCGGACTCTCTATAAGTTCCAGGCCAGTCTCCAAAGCAATAAAAAGAAACCCTGTCTCAAACAAAACAAAACAAACAAACAAAAACAAAAACAAAAAAAGAAAGAAAAGTTGTACTTGTCATTTCTAGCCTAATCAATTCTTAAGACTTGAAGGTTTTTCTGACGAAATTGGTGGTTTTTAAAATACTTTCTAGCTCTAACTCTGTTACTCCAACTGCATACAAGTTCACTGAGTTGTACAGTCTTAAGGGCTGGTTAATTTTGGTGTGTGTTTTTTTAATATAGTAAAATTTAAGGGCTGGCTCAGAGGTTAAGAGCACTCACTGACTGTTCTTCCAGAGGTCCTGAGTTCAATTCCCAGTAACCACATGGTGGCTCACAAACATCTATAATGAGATATGGTGCCTTCTTCTGGTGTGCAGGCATACATGCAGGCAAAACACTGTATACATACTAATTAAATAAATATTTTAATTCAATAACAAGTCTCCTCTTTGTAATAGTATTTTGAATGTCATCTTCAAAGTTATCTTTAATTTTGCTTCATTAAGTATTAATTAAAAAGATAATAAATCATTGCTCAACCGGCGCGTTGGTGGCCCACGCCTTTAATCCCAGCACTCGGGAAGTAGAAGCAGGCAGATCTCTGTGAGTTCATGGCCAGCCTGGTCTACAGAGCAAGTTCCAGGACAGCCTCCAAAACAATACACAGAAACCCTGTCTCGAAAAACCAAAATAAATAAATAAATCATCGCTAAAACAAAACAAAACAAAAAAAACCCTTAAAAATGATTTAAATTTTTGGGACTACAATTGTTGCTGTGGTGGTGTATGCCCTTAATCCCAGCACTCAGGAGGCAGAGGAGGAAGCATATTTTTGGTTCCAGGGTAGTCTGGTCTATAAAGTGAGTTCCAGGACAGTCAGGAAATGCCATCTCAAAGGAAAAAAGAAAAAAAATGTTATGGAATGTGAAATTTGTACAAGTCTCAGTAAGGAGTTAGAGAGAACTCTCTGGTTCAGAACACTGGTTGTTTTTCCAGAGCACTTGGGCTCATTCTCAGCACTCACATTGTTTCATAACTATCCATAACAACAGCTCAGGGAATCCAATGTCTTATTCTGATTACATACAAGCAGGCAAAACAATCAAACATGCAAAATAAGATAAATATATCTAAGAAGTCTCAATAAAAACATAGGTCATTACTATGAGTAGTGATGGCCTCTTCCAGTCTAAGTTTGATTACCATCTTTCAACTGATTTATAATTTGTAATAACTATATATATATATATAAATTCCAGAGGAAGCCAAAGTTGTCTGTTTTTGCTCATACATGACTGTTATGCTTTAAAAGAACAACTTACACAGTAAATTCTTTCTTGCATGAGTCATTTTCAATGCCTGTGACATGTAGCAAAGCTGGGGCTGAAGAAATGGAGTGCATATATGCTAAACACAGCAACATAGTGTCTTAACGTCTCAGGGTCCCAGTTTCCTCAAAACCAAAAGAAAAGGTCTGCACTGGGTGATCTCTAATGTCCCTTCCAGGCTTATGATTCTGCAGGAAGAGAAAGCAGGCTGAAGAGAGTGTCCTGGAACTCACAGCTAAAAGGAAAATCAGTGACAGATATAGTAGTATTGTAAGACTGAGAAAGCAAAGAGAGGGCTTGGAAAGATGGCACAGAAATTAAGAGCTGTAGCAAACAGTGCGGCAGACCAGCCAAGTAAGGAATTGAATCAATCCTGTACAAAGGGTTTGTGAGCCTATTAAAATAAGTGCAGGTAACCCAATGTGGTGGCACACACCTATAGTTCCAGCACTTGGAAAGCAGAGGAAGGTGGATCTTTGTGAGTTCAAGTCCGGCCAGCTCCACACAGTGAGCTCCAGGCTAGCCAAAGGCTACATAGTAAGACCCTGTCTCAAAACAAAGTAAAAAACCCTAAGGGAACTGGCAGCAAACATGAGAAAATAATTTTCAGAGTTGAGTCCCTGACTCAAAAAAAAAAAAAAAGTTGATAATATACCACACATCTACATTCTTCTCACTAAGGTGACATATCTTCAGAGAAGATGAAAATATATAAAACTGTGACCAAGACTCTGACCAAGATCCATGTAGCAAAATAAAAGACATAATTTAGAATCACATACTTTGAGCAGTTTAAGCACATCCTCTTGATGGGAGCTGGTGAGATGGTGGATGACGTGTATTCATTGATGCAGAGTCTGGAGCAGAAGAGCTCAGCAGACCCTTTCTTCTGGTAAGCAGTCTGCCCCTCCTGTAAAACTCTTTTACAACCACAACAGGAAAGCTGGACAGCTGTGGCTGGAACTGCAGGAAGCATTTTATTCATGCCAGGTGATACCAGAGAAGGCTGAAAGTCAGTAGTCAACTGTGGAGCCTTAGAAACAAAATAGGAAGAAAATAGTATTTTCAATGACATGCATATACACCTGTTTAATTTAGAGGTTACTTCTCGACATGAAACCCAACCCACAATAACATAATATCTAAAGGCAATTTTTAGAAAGTAGATAGACTAGCTGGGCAGTGGTGGCACATGCCTTTAACCCCAGCACTTGGGTGGAAGAGGCAGGTATACCTCGAGTTTGAGGTTAGCCTGGTCTACAGAGCAAGTTCCACAATAGCCAGGGCTATGAAGGGAAGGCCTGTCTCAAAAAAGCAAAGTACAATAAACAAAACAACAAAAAACTAAAAAGAAGATAAACAAAATTTGCTATTTTACTGATCAAGAAAAGTAATGATTAATTCTAAAAATGGAGAGTTTCTTTTCTCCTAAATTTTGGGTTGTTGGGTTTGACAATACTCTGAAAATAGAGAAGTGAAAATAATGTACAGAATGTCTTCAAGTCAACTGGATAATTCAACAGAAAATGACAAATTAAGCTAAAGTGTGCTTAGTGATTTGTGTAACGGACTGAACTCCAAGTTATGTGTTTGTTGTTTGTTTGTTTTTATTTCCTTGGTGTAACAGTTCTGGTTGTCCTAGAACTTACTCTGTAGACCAGGCTGACCTTGAAATCACAGAGATCCACCTGCCTCTGCCTACTGAGTGCTGACATTAAAGGCATTTGTCACCACTGCCCAGTTACCATTTCATTTTTGTGCCAGAGATTTTAGGCAAATAGATAAAACAAGAAAAAAAAGACTAATGTAAATGTGTCATTATTCATAGATTTCATGATTGTGAATACAGAAAGTCCAAAAGAATCTATAAATTTAACAAGGTCAATATTAAAATTTTTAGGGGTTGGAAATTGAGGCCCTGGGTTTGATTGACCCTCAGCTCTGGAAAAACAAAACAAAAAAGCTAATTTTATTTCTTTGCACTAGGAATATAAAAGGTACATTTAACTATTTCATATTCATATTCATCAAATGTAGGATGCTGTAGGTATAATTCAGTGGTAGAGCACTGTATTTGATCCCACCATTGGGGGAACTAGTAAACACCAGATATAGAAATAAATCTAAATGCCAAGTCTTCTGAACCAAAGTAAAACACTGCTAAGGGAAATTAAAGAAGCCTTAAGTAAATGGAACAATAGACCATGCTTACTGAAAGACTCAATAGTTAACTCAACTTTCCCTTAGTGAAACTGTGGACCAAAATCCCAGTAGATTTGTAAACCTGCAAGGTAAACTCTAAAGTCTATAGAACCTAGTGCATATGATGGTGCATGCTAGCTGGGTGTGGCTGCAGGAAGAACATAAAAGCTACAGGCCTACCTGGGCAGACATCAAGTGAGCTGGAGGCCACTAAGAGGCTTTATTAAAATTAAAAGTCAAACAAGAACTGGACATGTGTTGGACAGCAGTTTTCTCCAAGACTGAAAAATTTCCTCCTGCAGAGAAGCTCCCTAATCCAGAAGGTAAATTTTTGCTCCTGTAAGTAACTCTAACCCATGTTCTTGCAAGTATGTCCAATAAAACTCACTCGTTCACCAAGATAGACTTTGGTGGCATCCTTACTTTAGTCTGTTGTGGGATCTTTAGCTGGGATGAATATGTGTGTCGTGTCTCACCAGGAAAAATAGTCTTGTCATAAAACAGTAAGAGAAAGGGTAATAAAACTGCTGAGTGGCCAGGCATGGTGGTGTGCACCTTTAATTCCAGCACTTGGGAGGCAGAGGCAGGAGGATCTGTGTGTGAGGCCAGCCTGGTCTACAGAGTGAGTTCCAGGATAGCCAAGGGTATACAGAGAAACCCTGTCTCAAAAACAAAAACACCAACCAACCAAACAAACAAAAACCACACACACAAAAAAAACCAAACAAACAAAAACCAATGCAACAACAATAACAAAAACTGTTGAGGGAGTTGGAGAATGGCTAAGTGGCTAAGAGTTAAGAGCACTAATCAGTTCTTCCAAAGGACCCAGGTTCAATTTCCAGCCTCCACCTGGTAATTCATATCTGTCTATAGCTCCAGTTCCAGATGTGACATCCTCACATCAATGTGCATAATAAAATAAATTATTAAAAAAAGTTGAGTGTAGTGCTTCATGCCTGTAATTCCAGCACTCAGGAGGTTGAGACTGGAGAATTTCCTAGTTGGAGACTAGACTGATCTTTTCAAGCAAGATATTGCTTGAAAACAAAAATAATAGAATTATAAGACATACTTAACTGTTATATATTACGTATTAAATAGCTACCTCCAAAGCACTAATAACACAGAAAATGGCCATTTCTGATACCTGGGTTATTAAATTTCTTTGTATTAAGTGGGGTGATTACAAGTTTGTATCAATGCTTTTTGAATTTTGGATTGCAAATTTCTTTCTTTTTGGTTTTTTTTTTTTTGAGACAGGGTTTCTCTGTGAAGCAGAGGGTGTCCTAGAACTAGCTCTGTAGATCAGGCTGGCCTTGAAAACAAAAGAAATCCAAGTGGTTTCTTCCTCCCTGCTGGGATTAAAAGTTTGCACAACCAGCATTGATTTGCAAGTTTCACTCACTAACCCAACAGACAAAACAAGTCCCTTTAAAGGACTTTCCTCAGTCTAAGGATTAAGGGCAAAGTGTAGAAAAGTTCTTGTTATGAGAGCTGGGAATGTAGCTCAGTTGGCAGGATGCACGAAGCCCTGGGTTCCATTGCAAACCACTCACAAAGCAAGCACAAGGGAGACACGCCTAGACCTGTGTGCTCAAACTATAAGCTTGCTTCACCAGCAAACAGGAAACTGGGTTCTAGAGCAGCCTGAGTTACATAATGAGACCCTGTCTTAAAAAAGGGTTAAACAGCCAGGCGTTGGTGGTACATGCCTTTAATCCCAGCACTCAGCACTCTACAGAGCCAGTTCCAGGACAGCCTCCAAAACAATACAGAGAAACCCTGTCTCGAAAAAACCAAAAGGGTTTAAACAAGAAAACAAAGCAACTAAAACAGAAAAAGAGAAAAGAATGCTGATACTGTACTCCAAGAAAGCCAGTAAAATTCTCATTTGTAAATTATACTCCAAGATACCCTCAGACCTCTACATTAAAAATACTGCACCTTCACCACCTGCTGGCAGTGTCCCAGGCCTTTAATTCCAGCACTAGGGAGGCAGGGACAGTAGGACCTCTGAGGGGAGGGCAGCCTGGTCTACAGAGGGAGATCCAGGATAGCCAGGGTTACACAGAGAAACCCCATCTCGAAAAACCAAAACAAACAAAATTAAACAATCCCCCCAAACCCTGCACCTTCATCCAATTTCAATTTGAACTTCATCATATTTTGAGCAATACTAGGGACTGGATCTAGGAACTCACTCACTGATACAACACCAACACAAGTTCAAATCTTTTGTCTTAAGTTTCTTTTGGCTGGGATTCAAGTATAATCCTATTTGTAAAAGTCATTTCGTGGTTTGTTTTTGTGGTGCTGTCGAAATCGAACCCAGAACCAGGGCCTTGGGCATGTCAGGCATGTACACTATCGCCATTCAACCCAAACCTTGTCTTAGTTTTTGTTGTTTGGGGGCTACACAGTCCAACCTGGCCTCGAACTCACTATCCTTAGCCTCAGGATAGTAAGGGAAATTCATGTTCTTGTTTTTGAATACGTTATTTGTATTTTGTGCGCATTGGTGTTTGACTGCATGTATGTCTGAGAGTGTCAGAAGTCCTGGAACTGGAGTTACAGACAGTTGTGAGTGTCCATGTGGGTGTTAGGAATTGTACCCGGGTCCTCTGGAAGAGCAGTCAGTTTTTGTTTTTTGTTTTGGTCCTGGAACTCTTTTTATAGATGAGGCTGACCTAAAACTCACAGGGATCCGCCTAACCCTGCCTCCCCAGTGCTGGGATTAAAGACGCGCGCCACCCACGCAGGGCACTGCCGGTGCCCTCAGCCGCTGAGCCTTCTCTCCAGCCAATTGTTTTTGTTTTTTGAAACCAGGTTTCATAATATAGCACTGGCTGACTTCGAACTCACAGAGCGGTCCCCACCCCCACCCCGCCTCTCGGGTTTTGGGATTAAAAGCAAGCACCACCACGCCCATCTTTCTGCTGTAAATCTGTAAAAAACAAAACAACAACAAAAACCAACCCGCTGCTCAATGGAAAGCGCCACAGGTGTGACCGGCAAGACAGTTGGCTACAGAAAGAAGTCGAAGAGACCAGAGGCACCAAACTCGGTCACCGCCCAGGGGCCAGAGCACCAGGAGCCCTGGGAGCCGGGGGTCACGGTTCCCCACCACTGTGGGCATCTCACCTGTCGCGTCACCCTCCTCGGGACCGGAGAAACGCCGCCTCTCTCAGGAAAAGCCGGCCTGAGATTCTGCACGAAGCCAAGTAACTCCTCCCCAAGCCCGCGGCGGGAAGCTCCACACGGGTTTGCAGAGCCCCGCCGGCTCCGCCCCTCTCCCGGAGGCCTTTGCGGCTGAGCATGCGCAGTGCAGTCCTCTTAGGTGGGCCCCTGTCTGAAGCAGGGGAGATGGACAGGGAGGGGCAGGAGGTTTTACTCTTAGGCCATCCCTAAAGTCACCTCTCCTGCCTGAATTCCTGAATTCTTTTTTTTTTTTTTTTTTTTTTTGGATAGGATTTTCGCTCTGTAGACCAGGCTGGCCTCAAACTCACAGAGATCTGCCTGCCTCTGCCTATCGAGTGCTGGATTAAGGGAAATATGTATCACCTCAATGGGTGTACACATACATATTTGGGTCCTTGAGTGAGCAAATCAGAAGTTGACGGCACAGGCCTGCAATTTCAACTCTTGGGAGATGGAGTATGAGGTTCAAATTTCAAGGCCAGTCTTATTCACAAACCATACGGAGCTGAGTGGAGCTGGGCATGGTGGCACGCACGTGCCTTTAATCTCAGCACTCGAGAAGGCAGAGGCAGGCGCATGTCTGCGAGTTCGAGGCCAGTCTGGGTCTACAGAGTGAGTTCCAGGACAGGCAGAGCTACACAGAGAAAACCTGTTTCGAAAACAACAACAACAACAAAAAAAAAAAAACCCCACCAACCCTACCGACCCCCCCAAAAAATCTGTGGATGGGGCGGGGCAAGGAGATGACAGTCCATTAAGGCTACCAAGTCTGACTAGCATAGTTCACATCACTGTCACGGGAAACCACTGAGTAGACGAGAACCAGTTCCTGCAAATTGCCTTCTGACTGCCACAATAAGCACACAAACACAAGTAAACAAATACATGCACACATAAATAAAAAATTTAAACTGTAAAGGCTAATGCACTCAGTTTCTGAGTTACCACTAAAAAAAAAAGGTTGTAAATACAGTTTCAGAAAAGGAGGAGTGAGAAAGTAGGGTCAGAGGGCATAGCTAAAGAAATAGGAGGTGGGTGTCTAGTGAGGTGACTTAGCATGAAGGGATGAAAAGAAGAAAGTATAATGACCCTGTCTCGAAAAGGTATAGGGGCAGATAATTTTGATTATTTCTGGTCATAACAGCAAAAGAAAAAACATAAAGTTTGATAATGTATTCAAGCTTATTGTTGACTATAATTTCTTTCTGTCTCTTTTCTTTTTCTTTTGAGACAGAGTCTCACTGTGTAGAGTGACTGGCCTAGAGCTCACAGAGACTGGCCTGTTTCTGCCTCCAGTGTGCTGAGACTAAAGCCAAGAGCCACCACAGTTCCACCCTTTCCACCCCCACCCCCACCACCAAGGTTTTCCTGTGTAGTCCTGGCTGTCCTGGAACTTACTCTGTACAACAAGCTGGCCTGGAACTCAGAGATCCATCTGCCTCTGCTTCCCAAATGCTGGGATTAAAGTTATGTGCCATCATTCCCAGCTTCTTTTTTTGTTTGTTTGTTTTTTTTCAAGACAGGGTTTCTCTGTGGCTTTGGAGGCTGTCCTGGAACTCCCTTGGTAGTCCAGGCTGGTCTTGAATTTACAGAGATCCGCCTGCCTCTGCCTCCCGAGTGCTGGGATTAAAGGCGTGCGCCACCAACACCCGGCCTCCATTCCCAGTTTCTTTATTTCCTACAACTAGGGCATGTAGCCTCTTAAGAAATGGTCTTACTCCTGCCCTGTTCTGCTGTGCAACTGATAACTGTGGCAGTGACCTGTACAGTTTCAGGGAGCTCTCTAACCAGCAACTGATGGGGAGGAACTTACTCCTGGCAATGAAATGATCTAGGGCTTCTGGAATCTGCTTCATCCACTTCCACAAGTTTTCTCTGTTGGGAGCACAAAGGTCCTCATGCTCACAGGGAGCTCAAGGGAAAGCAGGCATGGTAAACTCTCAGGGTTGTCTTTTCAGGGGAAAAGACATATAACCTGTTTTTCCATCCAGACAGCTGGGGATGGAGGTGATTCATATCCTGGTGGTCTGCACATACCAAGCTCCCTCAACCAGGACCACAGATGGCTAATAGCACAAATGACCTCTATGCTATCCTTATGACTGAACTGGGACCATACCAGATCCCTCCCTAGGCCCTTAAGATAATCTCTAGACCCATCTTCGTGGAAGAAGTGACATGTACTTTTTTGTTTTGTTTTGAGGCAAGGTTTCTCTGTGTAGCCCTGGCTGTACTGGAACTTGCTCTATGTATTAGGCTGGCCTCGAACTCACAGAGATCAGCCTGCCTCTGTCTCCCAATTGCTGGGATTAAAGGCATGTGCCACCACCACTGCCCAGCCCATGACGTGTACTTTGGGTTGAGTTTCCATGTAATTATGCCTCCTTTGTTCCTAGAGGCTCTGTAAGATTACTGCTTACAGATACAGGCTGCTTTCTGAAACAACTCAGAGCCACTCACTGTGGTGAGTGTTGGCACCGCCCCCGGTGAATTGCCCTCCCATCATAAAATGCCCTATAGACTTATCTCCAGACCATCTGGTTGGAGGATTTTCTCAGTTTCCTCTTTCCATATAACCCTAACTTGTGTCAAGCTGATAATACACTAACTAGAACACCTTTTCCCTCACTCTCCCAACGTCCTCTCTCCTGTCTGACCTTTCTTCTGCTTGTGCATTTTTACCTTTTGCACTTTTGTATCAGACATACTATTCTACTAAACCTTCCACCCCACATCTGCTTAAAGACCCCCCCCAACACTTCTCCATTGCTGGTAGGAATGCAAACTTGTACAACCGTTTTGGAAATCATTATGGTGGATTCTCAGAAAGTTAGGAATCAGCATGGTGGTAGTGACGCATGCCTTTAATCCCAGCACTTGGGAGGTAGAGGCAGGTGGATCTCTGTGAGTTCAAGACAAGCCTGGTCTACAAGAGCTAGTTCCAGGACAGCCTCCAAAGCCATAGAGAAACCCTGTCTCAAAAACCAAAAACAAACAAACAAACAAACAAAAGTTAGGAATCAATCTGCCACAAGACCCAGCAATACCACTTTTGGGCATATGCCCAAAGGATGCTCAATCATATCACAAGGACATTTGCTCAATTATGTTCATAGCATCATTATTTGTAATAGCCAGAACCTGGAATCAACATAGATACCCCTCAACAAAAGAATGGATAAAGAAAATGTGGTACATTTACACAATGGAATACTACTCAGCCATAAAAAACAATGACATCTTGAGGTGTACAGAACTGGAAAAAGCCATCCTGAGTGAGGTAACCCAGACCCAGAAAGACAAATATAATATGTACTCATTCATAAACGGATATTAGACATAAAGCAAAGGACAACCAGCATACAGTCCACAACCCCAGAAAACTTAGGTAACAAAGAGGACCCTAAAAGAGACACACACGGATCCACCTAGGAAGGAGAAAGAAAGAGACAAATCTCCTGAGTAAATTGGGAGCCTGGGGAGCATGGGGGAGGGTGAAAGGGGAGAGGGGATGAGGAAAAGGGAGTAGGGGAAATGTACAGCTCAGTAAAAACAATTTTTAAAAATGTTTTCCCCTGTCTACTATACTGGGCTCTTCTCACAATCTCTACTGCACAAATGCACATATATGAAAGTTAGAAGCTAGGATCCACTTATTTTTTTTTTTTTTTTTGGTTTTTCGAGACAGTGTTTTTTGTTTTTTTGTTTTTTACGAGACAGGGTTTCTCTGTATTGTTCTGGAGGCTGTCGGTCCAGCCCGGCCTGGAACTCACAGAGATCCGCCTGCCTCTGCCTCCGGAGTGCTGGGATTAAATGCGTATGCCACCAACGCCCGGGCTGGTCTGGATGCTTCTTAACCCTCTCCAGAGCCCTTCCCTTTCCATAGGATATGTTCCAGGAGTAGATGGGCAAAATGCACAAGACTCAGAAGGCTCCTGAAATCTGAACTTTCATCAGGTAAAGAGTCAGCCCTCAGCATGACAGGCATGTTTTCTGCTGTGGTGTTGAATGACAAAGACTTCATCCCTCTACTATGGCCTTCCTGATTTCTTCAAAAACAGTGAAACTGGGATTGATGGCATATATTGTGAGCTGGAAAGTTTTGTGTTAATTTGACACAAGTTAAAGTCATCCGAAAGGAGGAAGACTCAATTAAGAAAGTGTCTCCAGATGGTTCAGAGTTTAAGAGTCCTGCTTGCTCTTTCAGAGGTCCTGAGTTCAATTCCTATCAACTACATAGTGGCTCACAACCATCTGTAATGAGATCTGGTACCTTCTTCTGGTTTGCAGGGATACATGCAGGCAGAACACTGTATACATAATAAAACAAACTGGCTCTATAAGATTGGGTTGTAGGCAACCCTGCAGGGCATTTTCTTAGTGATTGATGGGGGAGGGCCCAGGTCATCATGGGTGGTACCATCCCTGAGATAGCGATCCTGGGTTCTATGAGAAAACAGGTTAAGTAAGCCATGGGGAGCAAACCAGTAAGCAGCACTCCTCTATGGCCTCTGCAGCAGCTTCTGACTCTAAGTTTCTGGCCTGTTTGAGATCCTGTCCTGATTTCCTCCCTGGTGTGGGACCTCTTTCTGTGTATACGTTTGTCTTATTGGTTGATAAATAAAGCACTGTTGGCCAATAGGGAAGCAAGATATTTGGGACTAGGAGTCAAGGAGGATTCTGGGAAATGTTGTCAAAAGTGGGGAGTCACCATGTGATCCTGAGAGGAGAGTGCGTAAGATAAGACCTTATAAAATATATATTAGTGATTATGGGTTAATAATGAAGTCTGAGCTAGCCATTAAGAAACCATAGCAAACAGCCAACAGCTTCATAGTTAATATAGTGTCTTGTGTGTTATTTGGGGGTTGAGACAGCGGAGGGAAGCAGGCAGATGGTGGGAAAGAATGCATACTACACACCTCCCCAAGTTGGTTTGGTCATGGTGTCTTATCAATAGAAAAGTAACAAAGACACTCATGATCAAAGTAACTAATAAAAGAAAGTGTTTAATCTGGAGTTTATGGTTTCAAAGGAATTTAACTGGGCTTCTAGATAGGAAGCAGACCTGGTTGGCCCAGGTCTATGTCTATTTGAGCACTGAGTACCTTAGGGTACACATCTTGATAGACAACCATGAGGTAGAGGACA